ACACTCTATCTTCGTGCCAATCAGGGGCCGAAACAGCCTATTTACAAGTCTTTGGAAGGTCGCCYCGGCATTTTTTAATCCGAAGGGCATGACCTTGTAACAGTACAGGCCGAACTCGGTTATGAAGCTGGTTTTTTTCTCATTTGACTGGTCCATCCGGATTTGGTTGTAGCCTGAGTAGGCGTCCAGGAAGCTTAGCACCTCATGTCCCGAAGTCGCGTCCACTAGGCGGTCAATTCTAGGGAGGGGGAAGCAATCTTTCGGGCAAGCTCGGTTCAGGTCGGTGTAGTCGACGCACATGCACCACTTGTTGTTCGCCTTTTTTACCAGCACAGGGTTGGCCACCCAGCTCGGGTAATGGACTTCCCTTATGAAGTCTGCTGCGAGGAGCTTCTCGACCTCCTTGTCGACCGCCCTCCAGCGTTTTGGGGCTAAGTTGCGTTTCTTCTGTCTAACGGGTCTGACAGTTCGGTCCATAGGGGTTCCTCGACGGAAGCACCGATCTGGAGTGTGCGAGCCGGGTTCGTAGCCGAAGTCGGGATTGCGACTGTTTCCTCTGTGGGCGAAGCTCGTTCCTCGCCTTGCTCCGCAGGCCACTCTTGTTCGAGGTCGTCGGCTGCCTTGGTTTTTCCCTTCAGGGCGGCAACATAACACTTGCGGGACTCRASCTGGTCRCCCCACGCTACCCCCACACCGAAGTCCGTAGGGAACTTCATGGCCAAATAGTAGGTGGAGACCACYGCCCGTAGGATATGCGTGATCGGCCGCCCTATTATGGAATTGTATGGGGAGGGGGTCACGACCACCAGGAAATCGTGATTGAGTCTGACCGCACAAGGCCATGTGCCGACTTCCACAGGTACTGTTATTTTTCCGAGGGGCCTGACTTCCTCTCCGTTGAAACCCACCATGGGAGTGTTTGCGGGCTTCAGTTCGCTCCTCTGTAACTGTAGCTGGTCAAATGCTGATTTAAAGAGGATGTCCGCCGAGCTGCCCGAATCTACGAGTACGTGTTTGACCTCGAAGTCGATGATCCTTAGTTTAATGACAAGCGCGTCATCGTGGGGGTAGCGGACCCCTCGCGCGTCGTCCTCCATGAAGAAGATTGGTTCTTCGGTCTTTGGTCTCTTTGGAGGGTTCCGCTCCTCGAAGGCCGCTTTGCGAACTGAAGTTCGGGCTGCTACCACCGAACCTCCCACAATTACATGGATGGTTCCCCGAACTGGCCTCTCCACCGGAGGCTGTCGCTGCAATGGTTTGGCAGGTCTGCTGCTAGATTCGGGGGCATCCTTTTCGTGCTCCCCTGGCCGATCTGCCTTNAAACTGGGGATTCCATCCACCGAAAGGGGGATGGTGAACTGTCCAACGCACACCACGGGAACTTGAAGCTGTTCCCCGGTGGTGTTTGTCTTTGTGCCGCGTCCGGCGTTGTTGGAAGAGGACATGAGTGTTGGGTTTTTTTTTTGAAGAAGAAAAGGGGGTATGAGAGTTTTGAGGAAGGCTTTTTGAAGTGTGTTCCCACAGACGACGCCAATTGATGATGCGCAATCCGGCCGGTCTTAGCTGTCAGCGGTCTTGCCTCTGAACCGAGTAGCAGAGAACCTGAAACAGAGGAGATGAGGAAGCTCCGGGGAGAACCCGGTGTAAAGGCTCCGAAGCTTAAGTTAGAATCCTTCAAAGGCAAGATAAACCAGATAGTGCAAAGTTTGCATCCCTCCTTATTGGGGGTGGAGAGCCTTTTATAACCACCTCGCGCACTCACTCCTAGACTCCTGTCCGGTCGGGAATGAGTATTTCTGTGATTCTGCCAGTTCGGGCGTCATCGCCTCTGCTGGGGCAGAACCGTCACTGCTCCTTTTGTCGGAGCCGTCTCTGTAACTGGAGGCAGTGGTGACAG